AGGACCTCCTCTCATTCTTTCCCTGAAGTACTCAGTGCAAATTGAACTGCCAGGCCCTAAAGAACGTTAATTTTATGAGTTGTGGGTAAAAGCACTCCCAACAATCACGTCTCTGTGATGAGCATTTCTGGTCCCGGTGGCTCAGTGAAGACCTAAAATGGGAAATGCGGAGTGCGACAGTGCAGCGTGGGTTTGGGGAACCCAGAAGGGAAGTAGCGGTGAAATGACTGTGTGAAACACATTTCGTAGGTGTCCGAAGTCTGTTTTACGGTGGTGCGTGATTGGATTTATTTGTGGAGAGGGGTTAGAAAATAATGCATAGCCCAGGCTGGCCTCTTCAGCACATCCTACCGATGCGCCCCACCACAACCAGCAGGTGTCTACTTCGATGAATCCCTACTTAACAAAGGTCATGATGACCTTTGACGTCCTGCCTTTAGAGAAAGGAGCCTAGAATGGGCCGCTTTAGGCAGCAGGAACCCAGCGGTCCGTCGGGCTCTGAGATATGGGTGCACTTAACATACGTGCAGGCAATACACTCATACGCATAAAATAAAATCAATAAATAAAGTATCTTTTTAAAAAATAAAAACCTTTTATATTATGTACAAAAGTGTTTTGGCTGCAAGTATGTAATTACACCACAGGCACTTCTTAGCTGTCATGTTAAGTGCTGGGAACATAACCCAGGTTCTCTGCTAGAGCAGCCAGTGCTCTGAACTGCTGAGCCATTTCTCCTGCCTTTCAGCACTCTTTGCCAACCCCCATGCCTCCCCACACTCCCACCCCCTCACACTTCCACCTCCCCCACACACCCCCCCACTCCACACCCCCTCACACCCCCACCCCTCCACACCCCCCCCACACACCCCCACACTCCACACCCCTTCACACCCACACCCCTCCACAGCCACACCCCCTCACATCCACACCCATACAAACCCCACACTCCCACACCTCCACACCCCTTCACACCCACACCCCCTCACACCCACACCCTCACAACCCCCACACTCCCTCACACCTCCACACCCCTTCACACCCACACCCCCTCACACCCACACCTGCACAACCCCCTTTAGTTTTGCTAAATACAGTATTTTTGGTTGGGATTCGGTTTTTCACCACTTTGAAGACATCATCAGTAGAGCTCTATTTTCTGTAATCCTAATGAAATGATTGAAGCCAGGTAATATACAAAGATCAGAGGTTTGTTTATCACCATTTTCAACTTTTTTTGCTTTTATGTTTGTTTTTTGAGACAGGGTCTCGGTGTAGTCAGTGACCAGGAACTCAGACACCAGGGTTTCTGCCTCCTGAAGCGCTGAGATTAAAGGTGTGTGCCATCATGACCAGTTACCATTTTCAACTTTTTTTTTTTTTTTGTCTTTTTGAGACAGGGTCTCCCTGTAACCCCAGCTGTCCTGGAACTTACTATGTAGACCAGGCTGGCCTTAAACTCACAGAGATCCGCCTGCTTCTGCCTCCTGAGTGCTGGGTGCCACCATGCCCAGCCACCATTTTCAACTTAAAAAAAAAATTATATATGAGTATAATGCCTGCATGTACATATGTATTTAAGTGCATCCAAATCCTGTAATAGATGGTTGCTAGGTATCTTGTAGGTACTAGGAATCGAACCGGGGGCCCGCACTTAACCTCTGAGCCATCTTTCTAGCACCTCTATTTTCTTTTTGTTAAATTATTTCTTTACACATCACTGAAAGTGATGTTACAGTACATAATTTAGTTACAACTGTGAAATAATGTGTTGCAAAATAATATAGAAGGCAGCAAAAGTACATTGTGACTGTATATAAAACTGTACAGTCAGCACCAGTATCAACAAGGGCCAACACTCTGCACATTGGTGGGGAACCAACAAATATGAGGTCTTCTGTCTTCTGGGGTGTCACTTAACTAAATATAGCAAAGGAGAGACATACCAGGCATATTCTGCACACCCCTCAGCTCATTCTCCAAGATTCTGTGGTCTCTTGACCTGTAGGGAATACCTTAAAAGCGGGGGTGGGGGGGTGGAGGAGGGGAGGTAGGTGGTGATGGAAGCCAGTTTCTCCATCAGCAAGATGCTATCTGTCCCTCATTTCGCAGGTGCAGGGACTCACTCCCCAGACTCTGACTATACTATTTTAAGAAATATTTTATTATTTTTATTTTATGTGTATGAGTGTATTGCCTGCATGTTTGTAAGTGTATCCATGTCGTGCAATTTCCACTGAGGTCAGAAGGGAGGATGTCAGATTCCCCGGACCTGGAGTTATGGACAGTTGTGAGCCGTTGTGTGGGTGCTAGGAATTGAACCTGGATCCCCTACAAGAGCAGCCAGTGTTCTTAACCGCTGAGCCATCTCTCCAGTCCTGTACTGTGTACCTTTTGATAGAAAGGTCCTTTTAAAAGCTTTTATTTTACGTGTAGGAGAATTTGCGTGCATGTATGTATTCATGTATACCAAATGTGTGTGTGCTGGTGCCCACTAAGGCCAGAGAGTAGGTTTATTGGCTCTCCTGGAACTGGAGTTCCAGATGGTTTTGAGCAGCCATGCAGGTGCTGGAAAGCAAACTAGGGTCTTCTGCAAGAGTGGTCAGTGCTCTTAACTGCTGAGCCATCTCTCCAGTCCCAAGAATCCATTTTTGAACAATGCTAATACTTCTAAAACTTACACAAAACACTCCAAAATCCAGAACAATATTGTATTAATATTTCAGAATACATGCTTAATAAATTGCTCTTAAAAAACATTTTAACTAACAAAACTGTGATGGTGATTGTTTTCAGAATTTATAATTAAGGGTGAGACCAGCCTCTAGGCACACCTGTGAAGGATTATCTAGTAAAGTGAGCCTCTGAGAATGAATGTGAGGGATCTTCTCAGTCAGTTACAGGAATTGACTTGTAAAGAGCCATTTTAATTGTGGGCAAGACCATTCCCTGGGAGGGGATGTTGGACTGAATCAATGTGGAAAGTGAGCTGAGCACAAGCATGTGTTCACAGCAACAGGAAAAGAAAGTAAACAACAGCATATGCCATATGAAACAATTTGAGAATTGGATTTTGTCCACATTCTTTGGGGGCGGGGCGCAGGGTCTCCTTGTAGCTGCAGCTGGTCTGGAACTTGCTATCTAGACCAGGCTGGCCTTGCTCTCAAAGATCTGCCGGCCTGTGCATCCAAAGTTCTGGGATTTTTTTTTTTTACAGGTGTACCCCATCATACACCCAACATTAAAGAAAATTTTTTACATTTCTTTTTCTATTCTGCATGTATATGTGTGTATGCTTGTGCCAAGGACATCCTGGAGGTCAGAGGACAATTTGAAGGAGTTGGTTCTCTCCACCAAGCAAGTTCCAGGGATTGAATTCAGGTCCTCAGATTTGGCACCAAGCACCTTTACTTGTTGAGCCATCTCCAGGGCCCGTTGAGGTCAGATGAGGGCATCCGGATCCCCTGGAACTGTAGCTACAGACTGTTCTTAGCCATCAAGTAGGTGCTGGGAATCGAACCCAGTCATCTGCAAGATCTTAACTGCTGAGCCATCTCTCCAATCCTCCAATATTTTTTCTTTCTTTCTTTCTTTCTTTCTTTCTTTCTTTCTTTCTTTCTTTCTTTCTTTCCTTTCTTTCTCTTTTTCTTTCATTTTTCCTTCCTTCCTTTTCCTTCCTTCGTTCCCTCTCCCTCTCTCTTTTGATGCACGTTTAGATAGTTTCTGTTTTAAATTATTTTTATTTTTATTTTTTAAAATTTTATGACAAGGTCACACTCATCCTAGGTGGCCATGGTGACCAAGCTGGCTTCCAAATCATGGAGATCTGCTTGCCTCCAGGGTATTGGGATTAAAGGACTGTACCAGCACACCCAGCTAAATATCTTGTCCATATTCTTTATCCATATTCTTTATCTTTGACTTAAAGCTCCGAAAATTGTTAACGTTCTTTAACATCGACCCCAGCCAGGTCCGGGGCAAGCACAGATGTGGAAAATCTGAACTCAGTACTGGCTAAGAAAACTACAGGGGGGAAGAGTGCTCCCCTGAGCGGGTGAGCTCCTTGAAGGAGGTGTGTATGGCTGATGGAGGGCTTGAGCCCTGGCGATGGGAGGGCCAGTGCACAGAACCAGCTGTGTCCACTTACTACTTCGTCTTTCCTATCGAGGTCTCTTCTCATACTGACGCCAGCTTCACACACTTGAAAACCTCTGTCAGTCATCCAAGCACTAGTGGACTCCCCAACCCCAACCCCTAAAGCAGGTTGCCTTTGTTAGACTAGTGACTTGACGCCAAATAACCGCCACCTGTGCACTTGAAACTTTCCCAGTTGGGAGTCCTTGCAAACTGTGAGTGAGCAGCGAGGAAGGGCAGCCTAGGTGCACACACAGTATGCGTGCGTGCGGCAGTGATGTGAGGTCGGGAGGTGGGCAGGGCAAAGGAAGAGCAGAGCGGAGGCAGGAGAGGCGTGCAGGGGGCTGTGTGGGAGAGACTGCGTGAGCTGAGAGCAGGAGCCGGGCCAGGCGTGGGAGGCAGGAGTCCTGGGCTCTGTGAGGTGGTGGTTTGTCCATGTGGGCGTCCGGCAGGAGGCGCGCGTCACAAGTCCCGGAAGTAGTGGGTGAAGGGTATAGCACATGGCTAAAGTAGGCGGAACAAAGGCGGGGCAGAGCGTTGATGACGTATCTTAAGTAGGCTAAATTGGAGACTGCCAGCGGGCTGGAGGGATAGCGCAGCCGTTAAAGGCTAAGGCTAACAACCAAAACGTTAAAGGTTCGATTCCCAGCACCCACAAATGAGTGCTGTCTCTTCGGCTGCCCTTTTTAACCCCGCAACCCTGAGTGCGCATGCGCAATAAACAAGAACAGTTTTCCTTTTTTTTTTTTTTTTTAAATAAAAGAAACTGTCTGCTCTTTAACCTTCAGGGAAACTTAACTTTTAAGCCCAGCCTCATTCAATTGACTTACTTACCTTGAAAATTTTTCATTGATCTCAATTAATTTTAAAGTCAGCTTCAATCCAACACACGTTCCCATTACTCTCATATACTCAAAAAGTCCCCCTTCTCTATCTCCTCTGCACCCCCTTTCCTCTGTGAAGGTTCCACTTGTTGGCGCTCTTTTCATCAACTTCAGGGCTTACAGCGTGGGGCACTAGGAAATATCCAACCAAAGAGACAGGAATTTCCACAGACCCTCTGCTCCATCTTACACGTGAGTCATGGATCTGTCCTCTTCTGTCTGTCCTATGTCATTTAGCATGAATACCACACCTCTTTTCATCTTTATTGTTTTGGGGGTATTTTATTTCTCCCCAAGCTGATAATGCCGCCTTTCCTTCTCCTCCTTCCACCTCCTCCCACCCTCCCTAACCCTCCTCCCC